AACCCACCACATTTTGACTGGATCTACTTTATGCTGGATTCTGACATACTGAGCCTGAGTGTGGCTGGCTGGTGGCTGGCAACACTACTTTCCTGACCCACCCAACAGGATTTCTCTTCTCCACTATGACGTTGATCGTTTGGATCCTACTCCCTGTTGATTTGTTAACTGTTTGGATGCAAACTGTGATTGGCTATATCACACAAATCAGAGTGGGTACTATTTATATATCAGAGTGTGGGTCCTAGGGAAATACTTCCTGGAGTATAATAGAACTAGTTGTTCCTAACACATTTCACATTTTTAGTCAAACCTGATTTAAAACATTGTTGTTTACCTACATCTTTGAGTAGCTGTGCCTTAAAGTTATCTGTATTGATATTGGATGACAATTACAAATGGCTATATACAATGAGGGACTGCATGCCTCAGCATTGGTTAAATGTCCAAAAGCATTATGGAAAGAGCAAGAGAGGGTAAGTACAACTGAAAACAAGCCCCATAAACAAATAATTTTAAGGACAACCAAATCCAACTTGTCTATTCATCCTTTTAAAAATTTAACCTGTTTCTAGCACTTCACATTAATTGTTATTGTAAGTTCAGTAGCAGTATTTGATTTCTGTGGCCTCTGGGTAAATGAGTTATGATCTGATATCGTTATGAGGGAAATGCTCGAAGTTTCATTTTCCACCAGTTGAATAGACAGTATCATGTCCAGTATCTTTTGCATGAGAACAGTGTTGTCTTCACATAAGCCTCAAACACTATCAGTCATCCATTTCCCTGAACACAGACACCCTTCTGTGTGTTGTCAGATTTATAAAGATGTGGTGGCAGTCATGGGTGCAGGAAATTGCTAGATGCCCAACTTTGATTTCTTATAGTTCTGAACCTGGAGCCAGGCGTGCTTGGTTATTGGCTGCATTCTCTCCCAGATGCTTGGCTTGTGTTTCCAGAGAAACCTTTTCAATACTCATTGCCCATTACATTGGCTCCAACGGTCGTTATTCAGAAAACCGTGTCAAGGCATTGAAAGCTTCACAGAAGCCTGGAATCCTGGCCAAAGATTCCACTTGATGTGAAGGTTGCACTGGAGAACAAGGGGAAGTAGGAGACTTCCTTTTAAACGTACGGCTTCAGCTGTAGCAGATGGTCCTTTCATACGGAGGCGCGCAGCCATCCAGTGTGGGAGGCATCATGAAGATAGATTGTGACGGTCGGTTCCTGTCTTTGGATAACACATCGCTAGAGTAGAGCCAGAGATTACTTTGGGGCAGCTGCCTTCCATCGCTTGACAAACACATGGAGAACAAACGAAGACTTGCTGTCAGGAAAGCCAGCCTTGGGGCCTTTGTTTCCCTTTGTCGTGTCAAAGTGATCTTGAACACTAGTGGATGTTTTATAACCAACTGGCAAAGGCATTGCTGCCATTCACTTGGAGGCGGGGAAGGTTTTTATTAGCAACTCCATGGTCTACCTTGACACAAATTCTCAACATCAAGTCTTGCTCTTTCTGAAAGCAAAACTTAATTTGGTTCTTTTACCTTTGGGGTCTGTAGAACTTGAGGTTGGTGGCTAATCAGGTTCATCCCACGACCATATCCTGGTTCAGCCTTTACTATGGCTTTAGAGAATTAAAAATCATTTTGCAATAATAATTTTGGCTTCGCAAGCACAGGAAGCAGTAGGAGGTTTTTTGTTTTGTTTTGAAGGCCGTGGTTGAAGTGGTACATTTCTTGGAATTTTTGGCCCTTTCCCTCTTTTCTCTAGAAAATTCTCCAATTGGTACCTGAGTGGCAAAGCTTTGCATATTATGTGTTCTGTAATAACCTTAAAACTGATGGCCATGTTTTGCTTCAGAGCAATTTCAAACACTAAGCTGACCTCAGCCTTGCTTGTATCTTTGTTATCATCCATCTCTTCCTGATGCTCTATTGCGAGGTGATTTGGGGAATGCGTTGTTACTACAGGGCTTAAAGAGCCTTCAGTGCAGCAATGTGTCTAGCAGCTTACCGAGTCTTTTCTTCCACCCCAAATCCGGTATTTCCTACATTCACTTGGACATCAAGGATCGTAGGCACTGGGCTCTATGGTTTGGGAATGGCTTTGAATCCAATAGGCTACAGGTGGCAATCTCGCTCCGCTTTTCAGAGCAAACCCACTCATTGCCACAGCTGGAGTAACACCGCCTGGGTCGTTATTGACATTACTTTTGAGGGGTTTCTGAAGTGCAGATTCTGTGAAAGCTTTGTTAATAATGGTTCCTTGGGCCTTCGGTTACTGCTTCCTTCACATTCCCATGTCTGCTCGCCGAGACTCAGCTGCACTGAGAATATTTGATCTACTTGAAAGATGTTTAGATAATATTGACCAAACTGCCACGTACCTCATCGCTCCACAAACTTCTTGCCAGGGACGCTGTGCAAGCAGCTCCCATATTGGCAAGAACTACAGAGAAATGACCCCACTTGGCTGCCACTGGCTTCCAGCCCTCCTGTGCTGTAGTCTTCTGACATTTATGAGGAATATGCTTTTAATCTGAGTCTCCAAGTTAACAAATTTATCTATAGTACAGAATTTACATCAAGTTAATTTCCACATCATTATTGTCCTTACTTTGAACACATATACCTGATTGGTGCTAAAGCAAAGATGATCTGTTCTGTTATATCAACACTTTATTATTATTTTATTTTTTATTAATAAATCCTTTTATTGGGGGCTCATTCAGCTCTTATAACAATCCATACATCAATTGTATCAAACACATTTGTACCTATGTTGCCACCATGGTTTTCAAAACATTTCCTTTCTGCATGAGCCCCTGGTATCAGCTCCTCTTTTTTCCCTCCCTCCTCCACCTTCCCACCCTTGTGAACCCCTAATAAATTATAAATTATTATTTTCATATCTTATACCATCTGCTGTCTCCCTTCACCCATGTTTCTATTGTTCGTTCCCACCCCCAGGGGTGGTGGTGGTGAATATCAGCACTTTATTATAACCAATTAATATGACTCAAAAATGTGAGCTACAGAAACAATTAAAGGACACCATCTTTGCCTTCAAAGATGTCACTTGAGGACTAAGGTGTGCCTGCCCTAAGTCATGATGTTTTCATTGCCTCCTAGGCACACGAAGGCTCGGCAGTAAATAGGGAAGACCAGAGAAGCACTGAGGCACTTCGCTCATGGTGCTGGTTAAGAATGCTCAAAGTACCATGGAATTCCAGAAGAGCAACAAATCTATCGTGCAAGACGTTATAGCTGGAGAAGCTCCTTAGAAATGCGGACAGTGAGACATCATCTCATGAACTTCGGCCCTGTTATTAGAAGGGCTAGTCCCTGGAGAAGAACTTGGCAGAGGTGAATGTCAGTGAAGAGAAAGACCCTCAAGTGAGAAGGACTGGTCCAATAACCATGACAGTAGACTTGACCATGCTGGTGATCCTGAGGATGATGATCATTCTGCTGTACATAAGGCTGCCGTGGGTCAGGGTTGACTTGATGCTCTCGTTGGTTACGTAACCCTTGCTTCCTCTTTCTTCACTGAAGGTAAGTAGTTGAGATTCATGTTCTTGTAGTTGCTAGCTTTATTAAGCTGTAAGGAGCCCTGGTGATACGATCGTTAAGCTCTCAGTTACTAACTGAAAGAGTGCGATTAAACACACCCAGTGGTTCTGTGGGAGAAAGACCTGGAGATCCGCTGACATAAAGATTACAGGCAAGAAACCCCCTGGGGCCATTCTACACAGTCACAGGGGCATTATGAGCTGGAATTGATTGGATGGTAACCAACAACATTAAACCATAACTTGCTGTGCCAGTCTTGTCTGGCATTGGGCAACAGAGAGAATGAGGATCAAATTCTGGCTCCACCACCATGACAAATTGCTTTATTTTCTCTGAGCACATTTCTTTAATTGTAAAAATGGCACTGAATTTTCACAGTACGGTTTTAAGTCTTAATGGACATGAAAAGCACCCAGTACACGACCTACTCCCACATGTTCCTTCTATTTGAAACGTCTGCAAAGACCTGAAATGGTTAGTTGAATGGATATAGTATTGGAATCTTTGAACCTGGATTTAGGACTCATCTTTCCAATGTATCTCCCTCCTCCTTACAATAGTAATCCTTCCCTTGCTTAATTAAGAGACTATAACCCACCAAAGGGATAAGAGATTTTAATCCTTACTGATAGAGTGCCTACAGTTAAATCAATTTTTGTTTTCTCCTAATTTGGGAAATCTTCAGGTATATTCTATTCTCCTAATGCTTGCTACAGTGAAGTTTATCTTACTTAACTGTAATTGCTTATTTTCTTTCCTGCTAGACTCTAAGCTCTGTAAGGTCAAGAACACCTTATTTTTTTATATATGCAAATACTTAACAACACTACCTTGGGTAAACAGTAACCATTCAATAATTATTGAATTACTAATCAGACTAATCCACTGGTAGAAAACAAAGAGTTAAACTTATTTAAAGTCCTTAAATATTTAAATTATCATTGGTGCTCTGAAACCACTAACTACTGATAGAGATCTTAGATGAATGGAGTGATTTTTCTGAAACCTATCTAATCATTAGGATAGAAATTAAGTACTAAACATACATATGCCAGTTAGATAATTTTTTTAAATTTGGAAATTATCCTATTTATACATTCAAAGGGAGTGTTTGTAAATAGCACTCTTGTTCTTTAAACATTTAAAAATGCTTCTGATTAAAATTTACATATTTAAACTCAACTTCAAATTAATTAAAAACCAAAACCCCTCTTGGTAATGAGGATGCTCCCACACAAATGTACCTGGATTTTGGAATATTGCATTTTTCAAAGTGGGGAACACACTTACTAACCCAGTCACATGAAAAAGCTAAGGGAGGGTAGAACACAACTCTGATGAAAAATTAAATTTCACTTAAAAAAATAAATGCCAGTGTATAAATAATAAACACAGCGTGCAAAACCAGGAAACAAAATTACTTACTATTATTGTCTTACAGTCTTTCCCTCTGCACAGTTCTGTATAGGTGGAGTATTGCACATATACAACCCAGCTTCCAACAAAGACCACCAGCCAGGAAAAGAAAAGGTATTTCATCCGCACGCAGGAGAAGCGAGCCTGTGGGTGAAAGAGCACACAACAAGTGTCCATTCAGCATCAAGCCAGCACTCACTGTCCTCGAACATGATGTTCCCCCTTCTGGGAAGAACTCAATATATATTCTAGGCTTCCGTACGGCAATTCTCCTAGAACAAAGTGTACTTTCACTGACTCCACAGCACTGGTCTTAGAAAAGGACGCTCCTTGGTCTTGCCAAAGAAAAAGGGAGCAAAATACCCTTTGGAATATATAACCTTTCAAATACCACCATCACCAAAACTGCTTACTGAGCACAAACACAGGTGCCACTCTCCTCTGGGCGCCGAGTCAGATAAGGTAAGGGGGGTACAAATCAAGTATTCTATGAGCTTACAAAGGGCATTTTTAGATAGGAATCTTAAAGGTCTTTATGGAATGTCATGATAAAAACAATTTTGCTTTAGAGAAATAACGGAAAAACTGGTTACGTGTGTGATAGCTCATAATGAAGCCGAAAACTTAAAAAAAAAGCCAAATTCACTGCCATCCAGTTGAAACAGAAACTAAATTCTACTTAGACATCTATACTGTTATTGTATCTACAAGAGATTTATGTTCCTTCTACTCAAGCAACCAAATGTTTGCTCAAATGGAGATGCTGGAAATTGAGGAGCAGGTTAAAACTACTAAAGAAGAAGTGAGGGGAGAAAAGGGTTAAGATATACCGTATATACTTGTGTATAAGCTGGGTTTTTCAGCACATTTTTAATGCAGTTTTTGTGGTAAAATTAGGTGCCTCGGCTGATATTACGGTTGAGTATATACAGTATTAAAAATACTCCAGTATATACAGTATTAAAAATAAATCAGTGCTTGTTTGTCAATTTGTAAAGCCACACGATAGGATCCTCTTTGCACTGTTTTGCTTCCAGGGTTCTGGTATCAAATTGCAGCATGGGCCGGCGGGTGTCTTTTCTCTACCAACCACGTATCAAAGAGTTTAATCTTCAAGAGTGACAGATGGTCAAGATAATTTAACATTAAGTCGAGGGAGGTCTAGCGTGCCAATGGTCTGATTTTACAAACAGGAGAATTCAGGACTGTGCAGAGAATGGAGCAGAGTAAATTAAAGACGTGTAAACAGATTGCTTTTACAGTCCGAGCCAGCTTCTCGCCCTGGGAGACAGTGGGGCACTGTGAGCACGCACAGAAAGCAGAGGAGGGAAGGAGACAGCGCACTGGAGAAGACAATGAACGCAAAGGGAACAACAGGAGGCTCAGGAAATACTGGATTCTGTCAGCCCTATTTGTTGTTGGATTATCTGCCTTTGTGAGGAATGCGGATGGTGAATGCCAGTGCCAAAAGGTTCCAGTACAACGAATTCACAGCTTAGTGACAGGGTCTTTTTGTTTGTTTGTTTAGTGATAGGGTTTTGAGTTGTACTATTAAATAGCAAATATGTCTGAACGCAAGGCATTTTAGTAAACAGTAGATGCTAGCTAAATCAATATACAAGGCACTGAACAAGAGCCCAACAATACTACCACTATGATTTCACCTTGTCATTCTAATTTTGTCCTTTCCAAAAAGAAAACGAATCTGAATCAGGTCAAGACTCGAGTGCCAACTGCGAATTCACAGAATAGACCGGAGACAGAGGAGCATGTTAAGCGAAACTATGAGGCTGTGATCAGACTCTGGATCCAGACGCTGGATCTTGGGAAACTAAAACAGCCCAATTTTTAATTTTTAAATCATTTTATTGGGGGTTTGTACAACTCTTATCACAATCCATATGTACATCCATTGTGTCGAGTACTTTTGTACGTTTGTTGCCATCATTCTCAAAAAATTTGCTTTCTACTTGAGCCCTTGGTATCAGCTCATTTTTTCAACAAATAAACTATAAGGGAAAAGTTAAGAAGAGCAGTGGAGGAGAAACCTAGACTTAAAACATTATCTGATCAAAAGGTATAGCGTCTGGGGTCTTAAAGGCTTGAAGGTAGACAAGAGGCCATCTAGCTCAGAAGC